TTGAATAGCCCGGCCTAATATTAAATTCGAAATTTGTGCTGCGCTCTTGTATCAAGCGAGTGAATTGCTAAGGATTACTTTTGAAGCAAAAGGTACCCTAATAAAATACTTGGTGGAGACGCGGGCTGGGGAGCCGCCAACAAAATCTTGGGGAGGAGCAGTATACCAACAATCCCCTCCCGACGTTATGTAATAATTTCATATACCGATAATTTATCATGCAATCCCTGAGTGCCTTCTAGTGTTCAAATATCTTGTCATAGCTGTCTCCTTGATAATTTTTATACCATGTTATAGCTTCGCAAGAAGCTGAATAGACGACGGGCCACGTAGTTCAAATGCAGGCTGCTGTGGTGCAGGTGCCTGTACAATGGGGAGTAGAACAGCCAGCTACGCAGGCTAAATGGGGAGCTGTGTAAATCCTCCTCCAGGACGAAAACGAGATGAGTAAGTTAGACAGGGGGGATTGAGAGGGATATACAACTACACACAAAAAAATCGCACAAATCAGTCAAACAACTTATTCGCAGCAGCCTTGTAGCAAGCTTCTTAAAAAGTTGTAACAAGGCTGTTATATTTTACTAAGTTGCTATCAAACATCTAAGTTGAATGTTTATGCATAACGTCTAAATGCGAAACATATACAACGACATAAACATCTAAGTTGAATGTTTATGCCGAACATATACAACGACATAAACATCTAAGTTGAATGTTTGTGCCGAACATATACAACGACATAAACATCTAAGTTGAATGTTTATGTCGAACATATACAACGACATAAACATCTAAGTTGAATGTTTATGCCGAACATATACAACGACATAAACATCTAAGTTGAATGTTTATGCCGAACATATATACAACGGCATAAACATCTAAGTTGAATGTTTATGCCGAACAAATACAACGGCATAAACATCTAAGTTGAATGTTTATGCCGAACAAATACAACGGCATAAACATCTAAGTTGAATGTTTATGCCGAACATATACAACGACATAAACATCTAAGTTGAATGTTTATGCCGAACATATTCAACGGCATAAACATCTAAGTTGAAAGGTTATGCCGTTGAAAGTCTTCGGCATAACTATTCAACTTGGATGTAAAACGGTTAGATTTGAACTCAGCGTGCTTGAAAATGTTATAGTTCGCGTAAAAATATTTCAGATCTAAGACATGCTAAATGAAAGCGAACGATATCGGGACGCAGCGGACGGCCTAGGTACGGAATGGTAAAGTGTATGATACTGTGTCATTGGATATGGTATTAGGTGTTGCATATACAGGAGTTTACTTACCTTTTTCTGTTCATTTCGTATCCTCTGCATTTCCTGAACTTTCTTCCTTACTTCGGCTTCCTTCTCAGCTTTGTTATAAGGCGCTGGTTTAGTTGGCTTCCGTGGCTTGGCTACCAAGGTCGCTTGTTCTTGGACGATCTTGTCTTTGTTGACGAGATCTTCTTGTCGTAATTGCACTTGTTTCTTGGCTTCGTTCGCTTCTTGCAGTTTGCGTTGCCGTTCCTTTTCAGCACGTTGTTGTTCTTGTTGTCTTTGCCTGTGAAGAAACAAAGTGTTTAGTGTGATGGAACTACGGATATGCCTGTGGGGGCAAGAAGACCTCAACATCGTATTAATGATAATACGAGGTACTTTGAACTAAGCTCAATTAACTAAAAATCTAGAATTATTGGTGCACGAAGTGGTTAGTACATGGGATGCTGTTTTTTAAAAAAAATGGTCAAATGCAAAGGGGGAACCACAGGAAATTTTTCAAAACTATTCAAAAACCGCCTCAACCTTAGTCCAAACTTTCTGATAATTGTCGAAAACCTCTCATCAAAAGAATTACTTTCGATCGATAAACTGTCAATTTTCAGAAAGACACATTTCCAGTCCCCCGGAAAGTATGTCACCTTGACTATTGAGCCTCGTTTTCGTGTTTGAGAAATTGGGCTTTAAATAAGCACACATCCATGAAAACGACGCCCTATTGCCAAGATGGCGTACTTTCCGCGCGGGCGTATTGTGATTACACCATGGTCTCTTACCGTTCTTGTTCTAATCGTTGTTGTTCCTGTCTCTGTCTCTCTTGTTCAAGTCTTTGTTGTTCTTGTAATTTTCTTCGGTTTTCTTCTTCGGCACGTTGTTCTTGCTGTTTTCTTTCAAGCTCTAGTCGTGTTTGTTCCTGGAGTGTGCGCTGTCTTTCTTCTTCCATTTTCTGTTCTTGTAGTTTTTGTCTACGCTCTTGTTCTTGACGTTGTCGTTCCCGCTCAAGACGCATTGCTACAGAAGATTGAATGTCATGTAATCTTTAATATAAAACGAAGCATTTGGTAGTGCTATTTGAACCAGTTCAATGTTGATGAGAGTTGGTGGTCAAACACAAGTTAGAGTTGCAACTCCCATCAATCTCTCATCCTCGTCAAGGGTGGATTTTCATTTATTTAAAAGGAGGGGTAGAAACTTCTCTGGTGGGGTGCAAGTAGCACCACTCAGTGAGCTTCGGCAGGGTTAAACGTTTGGGTTAAAGTCTTTCACGCAAAATAGGAAGAAGCAAAATTTTGGTGTGTTTGAACACTTTGTAAGAGGGGTTAGAGAGATTCTAAGGGGGGTTTAAGCCCCCAGTAAATACGCACAGACCAAGCCCCTCACCTTCCATTTCTCGTTCTTTCTGTTTTCTCTCCTCCTCTTCCTTCTTTCTTTTGTGTTCAGCTTCTCTCTTCAATTTCAATTCTTCTTCCTGTCTTTTCTTGCGTTCCTCCTCTTGTCTCTGTTTCATTGCTTGATATTCATTCTTCTTCACCTCCAGTGACTGTCGTAATGAACCATTCTCGTCCATTTGATTTTGAAGTTCTGCACGGATTTGCTGTTCACACGATTAAAGTAAGCGCGTCAATTTTAGCCCGACTATCAAACCCTGCTCTGATTATACTATTGTTCATGATACATTTAGTTTTATCTGTACTAAACATAAACTTTACTTTAATATAAAGCATGATACTCAGGCTACATCAACTTCATAGAAGTGGTGGACTGCTGAACTCAAACTAAACGAATATAACTGTATTGATACTAAATATTTCAATCAGTTGTAAACTGTTCTCCCTAGAGGTCCTTGCATTATATTATACTGCAGTTTCATGCCTTACCTTTAATTGATCATTCAATTGTATCATCATTTTTCTCTTAGTTTCCGATTCGCTTGTTAAATTACTTTTGTTGGACACTTGTCTTCGAATATCGCAGGTTGTATCTTCAATACTGGATAAAGCATTGCCATACGACTCGTCTGCAAGAGATTAAATGACTATAACTATCCCTGGTCCATTCTCGTGTGACAAATACAGTAGGTACAATACTCACCCATGATACTTGACTCGTGTTTGTTCAATTCTCTCTGCAACCTATCTTGTTCACTGCTAAGACCTGGTAACTGTTGTTTACAAAGCTAGAAAAAAAAACAAAGGATAGATACTAGCTTGCACAATAAAAATGCAATCTGATTCGTTAGTGTTCTCTAAGTGGACCCACTTACTGTAGATGCGCTGTAACAGTACTACGATTTAACTGTCTCAGCAAAAAAAGAAGGACCAGTTCTTACTTTTCTTTTGTTCTCTATATCAGCAATCTCAGCAATTTTTCTCTCGCGTGATTTAATCAAAGCATTGGTTGCTGCAATACAATCTGTGTAGAACTTCTTCTGCTTTCTGAGGTCTTCACGCAATGATTCCATTCTTTTCTCCTAAGAAATATTTCAAACATAGGGTATTTAAAAATGCCAACTACCTCCCCCTTGGCAGCCCTGCTGATAAGGGGTGTGGCCATACTTACCAAATTTTCTCTCTCTAAGACCATTTTATCTTTCCTAACTTGTAATCCTGTCACAATATCTTTTTCTAAACTTTTATGATTTAAAAGTTCTTCCTTCTTTCGTTTTTCCCATTCAAGTTGCCGTTGTCTTTCTGCTTCTATTTGAGCTTGCTGAAATGAACACAAAATAACATTCAATCAAAATAGACTACTCGTTTTCATAGTCTCCATTGTACTGTGTTCTCTATTTCAATATTAGAGAGCTTCAGATTTGACTTACAGTGCACTACCTCTCATCGGCTTCATATTATTCTGACACTGCATGGCGCAATTGAGTGGGATTTGAACTCACATCTTCAGGTATCATTGGTCTATTGCAGTGTCAGAATAATATGAAACTGATTTTTCATACCTCTGAGCATGGTTTTGAAATAGAATTTTCTCACCAGCTTAGTACAGTATGTGTTGGAGTGATTAATGAACCTTTAACCTTATAACTAAAATTTTGATCTAGACAAAAATTTCATCACAGCTTGAAAGAGCATCACAAAATTAGTAATATTCCAAAGTTTCGTTGAGAAATGTTGTAAAATGCGGATAATATAGCCTTGCAAAGATTGCCGTTTTTCAGTCATTTTGTATTACAAACGGGAGATTGATACCCCAATCGGGTGTTGGGGCATCAATTTCCCGTTTGTAATACAAAATTCTGAAAATTGCAAATTTCGCAGGGCTATATTACCCGCATTTTACAACATTTCGCAACGAAACTTTGGAATAGTACTTGTGATGCTCTTTCAAGCTGTGATGAAATTTTTGTCTAGACTTCTACAGTAGATCAAAATTTTAGTTATAAGGTTAAAGGTCCATTGGGTAAATTAAATACACAGGTCTGTTTATTGGTAGTGGCAAGTCAAAATCTGAACCATGCTCGTAAACATCTTATCTATTGTTTATTGTACGTACCAATCGTTGCTGTATCATTTTCTTTCTCAACGCTTCTTGTTCCCTCTCCATTTCTTCCTGTTGTTTACGTTGTTTCTCTATCTCAGCTTGCCTCTTCTGTTCTGCTTCTATCCTACATGATGATATGAACAGGGTCTGAAATTGACATTTTTTCTATCCAACTGGGATAGCAGGATTCAAAGTTTAGTATCCCCCTGAGAATCCAGTATCCCACTTCTGGATACCCGTTACCAAAAGTGTTATAACCTGTCCCATCCAAATTTCCATAATTCTCACAGTTACAAATTACAATAACAACAGGAGATTCAACAGTCAACAACTAGACAATTCATTAATACACAAAAATTCACATAATATGAGGAAAGGCTTGAGTGGCAAACTCATAGTAAATTCAAAAGCTATCAGGAGACTTTCAGAGGTGCTTAACACTTTCCTAATGTTTAAAATTTTCTTAGTATCCAGTTGAGGTACAAGTCATTCACAGTTTGGCATCCAAAAGCAAATTTTAGTATCCCGTGGATATTGGGATACTGCAAATTTCAGAGCCTGGTATGAAGCAGTTAGGACTAGGGTGAGGCAGTTAATCGAGATAAACCAGTCCAGTATTTAAACTTTCCAGTTTCCCCAACTGGTGTTAAGCCTGAAGCCTTACTTAGCACGCTGCCTTCTTTCTTCTTCTAATCTTTCTTTCCGTTCATGTTCTTCTTTCAGTTTCTTTCTCTGTTCCTCCACTTCTTGACGTCTTCTTTCCAGTTCTAATCTTCCCCGCTCAAAGTTTTGTTTACGTTTATCTTCGAATGTTTCTGAAAACACAAATCCCACACATCAAGAGATATGACTGCAATACCTTTTATCAATATGCATAAACATGCATATTGATAAAACCAGCATGTTGTTCTTAAGGTTTTGCTTTTACCTGATCTCAAGAAAGCCAGTTCATCATTGCCACTTGACGAGCTGACAGATCTCTGCCGTGTTATCTGACCTCCAGGCATACCCTCCAGGTTTTCAGACTCCATACTTTCAGACATAGTTTTCTTGAATTGCTGTGGTAGTAAGTTTGCAGGTAGCACAGGGGGGAGAGGCTTGCCGCTCTTAGCAGACTCTACAAGATGCATGCCAATTGCAAATTCCTCCATGCTCAGATGGCCATCTTTATCAACATCACTAAGATCCCTAGGGGAACGAGAACATTCTTATGAACCCATTAAAGCACAAGACTCTCTCCTTGCCAAGTGAAATTGTCTGGCATTAGACAGAGTAAAATAATAAAGTAGGGTGCTTTTGGATGCATTAATGCAGTTTAATGGTTTAACAAGACACATTCATTTGACAAATTCTTTGGTTAACCCATAAAACCACAATTCTCCCCTTGACAAGTAAAATTGTCTGGCGTTAGATGGAGTAAAATAACAAGCATGGTGCATTTGTGCACATTGCACCTTAATGAGTTAATGTGAAAGTTTGGGATATATCAGCTTTATGATCATAGTGGAACCTAATATTTATTAATGTTACAAAACATTTAATGCTTGAAACATCATAACAGTGCAGTATATGCCAAGTCTTACCAAATCTGTGCAAGAACTGGTGGAGGCAAGAGAGACTGTAGGAAGATCTTTCTGGCTTGTTCCCCTGAAACAAATGGACAAATGTCATGATTTGGTCAAAAATTAATTTTCTCGGCTTACAATACTAGGGAAAGAAATAAAATTGTGGTGAAAATGCAATTTAAATAAAACACTTAAAATCCAAAAATCTACCAACTGTTTTTGCAACTTACCAGTTAAAAACCCATTCTTCTCATAATCATTTGCTTTGAACAGTTGATTAAATTTGAGCCTCGAGTTTGGTGGGATAGCAGTAATAGTCGGTTCCCCGGACGGGCCAGCTTGAGGAGCCATGTTGGTAAATGAGCCGGTCCTAGCAGCTGGATGTTGTCTCATTGGTTGGCCCACCCCCGACATTGATGATACTGGCATTGACATGGGTGACATCGCTGGGTTAACCGAGGGCATTGGTGTTGTCATGGAGATTGACGACATGCCAAGACCATTGGATGTTGGCATCCCAAAACTTGGTGTAAAATTATGTGAAGAGGATATTGGAAGCCTTGACGTAGCCGGGGCAGCAGAGGCTTGCATTTGGTTGTTCACCGGGAGTAATGGTGGGGGGAAATTGGAGGCAAGTCCTACAGACCATCCTGTCACAGGCTGTGACTGCGGGCCAGTTGACATGGTCGATGACCATCCTGTGCTCTGATTGGCTGTTTGAGTATTGAAGCCATTCTCAATAGGGTTAAGTAGAGATGCGCCTGCATTGCCTCGTGATGAGGTCTTGAGACTGAGGGGGAGAGAGGTGGGGAGATTGATGCCTTTCAGTTTGCATTGAATCAGATGCATGGCAATGGAGAATTCTTGCTGGGTCATCTGACCATCCTTGTCCAAGTCTGACAGATTCCTAAATGAGAAAAGCATCTTCATTAAAGCCCTGGGCAAACTAGGAAACATTGTTGTGGAAACACTTGTGATTCTCGATGTTTCCTCAAATGTTTCCCTGTTTGCCCACCCCTGGAAACATTGTTGCGGAAACAAAATTTGCTTCCCGAGAAGCAAAAATGTTTCCTAGCAAATTCAGAAACATTTGATGTTCCCTATGTTTATCACTATGTTTCCTAGTGTTTGCCCACTCTTGGAAACATGGCGAAACATTGGTAGGAAACAATGTTTCCGCAACAATGTTTCCTAGTTTGCCCAGGGCTTAAGTTTCAAGAAAATTATAAAATTTAAAAAAAATTTTTATAACTAAATTTTACTTCACTTACCATATTTGACCCAATGTAGCTGGTGGTAAATTTGAAGATAAAAAGACTTTCTTTGCTTGTTCACCTATATCAAAATAATTATACTTCTTTCAAGCAATCATGACTCGCATCTTATTAGTAACAAATTTAACATGTACCTGTTATCCGTCCATTTGATGGCTTGAGTGACAAAAATGCTGTCTCGTGTTTTTGCCTCTCATCTGCTGTTACAACCCACGTATTTCCTGTTTGTGGAGAATAAGAAATATATTAACCCATTGAGCCGCAATGCGCCCCAGTGCACCCTACTTATTTGTTTTTACTTGTCTAACGCCAGACGATTTTACTCATCAATGGGGAAGCTCTGAAGCTTAATGGTTAACCAACCAATATGCCATATAAATCATGTGTCAAACCTAACTTCGGAAAGGTAGTGGGCAATTCCAACTGTAGACTAAATTTTGATCTGGGCAACCTCAAACTCCATCACCACAGCTAGAAAGAGCATGTTAAAATTGGTATGGCGTAAAAAAATAATACCTGTGGTTCCGGTTTCATATTGTGAAAAAATTAGGGTCGGTAGGCCGGAAATAAAAATTTTTTTGAATATTTTTTTCATGTTTTTTTTTTGCTGGGCGATTTGCATTAGTCCCGACATCAATATTAACTAGCGATGCGTATTTCCTATGGACGAATTTAGGCAATTTGGTTCAATAATTAGTGTGACAACAGACGCCATTTTGGCACGCTGTATGAGCAGCCCGCAACCACCTGGAGAAAATAGGGTTGCACAGCAATCACGTTGAAAAAATAATAGGGTCGGCAGAAAAAAATAGGGTCGGTCGGAACCGGAACCACAGGTATTTTTTTTACGCCTAAAATTGCAAAGTTTGGCAGCGAAATGTTGTAAAATGAGGAAAATACAGCCCTGCAAAATTTGCAAATTTTGTATAACTTGCATTACGCGCGGGAAAATGCACCACATTTGGTCCGAAAATGGTGCATAATTTGCAAATTTCGCAGGGCTATATTTTCCACATCTTACAACATTTTGCAACCAAACTTTGCACTTTTACTAATTTTAATATGCTGTTTCCAGCTGTGATGATGGATATTTTTCTTCTTTTCTTCAAAATTTAGTCCATAGCTGGAATTGCCCATTGATTGGTCCAATGGGTCATTCCAGAAAAGGTCCACACTCCCCCAATGGAGGAAATTTCTAATGTCCGGAGAGAGGGGGGAAAATTTGTTTCTGATAATAGTAAGTGTATTAAAACGTACGGGGGTTAACTTCCAATTTCTTCTGTGGGGGAGATATGGATGTTTTCTGGAATGACTCAATCAAACAACTAAATTAATTGCTAAACACAAGCATTTGCTACTTTGGCCTGCAAGTATTAAATTCCAACCAAAGATTGCTTGAGTTTTTTCTGCAGCAAACATGTTGAAGGCTAGTCCAACAGTTTGCTCAAACATAACCCATATCAACAGTTGGGTACATTGGTTGGACTCATTTGAACATCATGGAAGACATTGGAAAGTATCTGAGCATGTCGTATTTAATTCAAAATTGCCTCCTATATTTTCCAATATCAATAGCTCAATGTTTGTCAAGATGTTAGACTGGTTTAACACCAATGCTCTCCCCTTCAAGAGGTAAATTGTCTGGCATTACAGAGAGTAATATAATAAAGTAGAATACATTAGGATGCAATGCAACTCATTGGGTTAACTGGACACACAGGCAGATAGTCTGATAACCCATTGAGCACTAGCATTCTCCCCTTGACAAGTACAATCATCTGGCATTAGACGGAGTAAATGAATAAAGTCACTACGATATGTAGCAGATAGAACAACATGAAAAATACAAAATATTCAGGTAGTATCTTGTACACACAGCTGCTGTTATTGTTGCTACCTAAACTGACTGAGTTTATGCCACAGAACTACATATTCATTTTAGTTTAAATATATTTGTTTTGAAAAGGAAACTAGCAACTAATCAGTAACAAATAGATCATTATTCAGATTGGATTATAGTATTAAATATTATGCAGCAAAACATTATTTTTAAAACAAAGTTTAAAAAATACCTGACATATTTACTATTCATGCTAAACTTGACACGCTGTGGACATCTGCTTCCTGATTAACTTGGACGGTTCAACATCCGTAGTTGAGGAACATCTATTATTGACCACAAATTTGCAAGCCGGGCCAGCCGGATTAACAGCGTAGCCAACGCCTTATTCACATAAAATAATCCACGGAAAACAAGCTTGAGGACTTCTTCTTTATTTAGTTGTTGCCGTTAAGTTGTTTCGGAGTTAAAACTGTCTAATATAATGAAATATTGAGTTTAATTTCAACAATAATTTCATCGACTTCGGTATTTTTAATGGCATTCGACTGTTGACAGGCCTGAGCATGCGCTAAGGAGGATAAAGGAGTGTAATGATGGACACATTTGGATATTTTGATACAAATTGGAGGTAATATGGATAAAACTGGACTTCAAAGTCTCAAAAGACTAGGTTTATCCCTAAACGTCTGTTAATTCAACTGTTGTACACACTTGTACCCTACAATAAAAAATAAATTTTAAAAATTTTAGGATGTAAACAATAAATTTCTGGCTTTTCTGTGCAAAATATGCCGCGTTACGAGTTGTCCTTGATAACAAGGACATTAAACAATGTAAGTATGGTATAAATTTATAATTATAAATTAATGTACCTTTATAAAGCTTGTATTTATATGTACAGAGGTAACTTTTGCAGTGTGCATCCTCCCCCCTGGAAATGTTAGGGTCCATGGAAAATAATTATTCTTTACATTATTTCAGGAGGGATTGGCCGATGTTTTACGAAGAGTGGCCACCCTTGTTATGGAAAAGGGAGGTGTTGTGCGTAAAATGGAGAATTTAGGTCAACAAGAATTGCCGTACAGAATGAGAGCTCACAATGAATGGCACACCTATGGAAGGTGGGTTGTAGGCCATCAACAAATTGATCTCATCCCATTATGTGGACTCTTTCCATGACTTTCTTATTTGTGTCTTCCATAATCTAGATATTTTCTGTTCGACATGGACATTGGGCCGACACAACTTCCATCATTTGAAAAGGAACTTAAATTAGATACAGATTTGATTCGTCCAAGACTTGTGAAAGAAAGACCAAAAAAGAAAGTCGATGAAGTTCTTCATTGTTGGACAAGTTACAAGAAAGACAGTAGCTGATAAATACTTTTGCTTCAATTGTATATATTAGCTAGTTAATAAAGTTCTTTACTTATTTTTGAAATTCATTTGTTGCCACTACCATTATTGGGGAGGGTTGAATTACTGCAATACGTCATTACAACTCAGCCACATGTTAAAACTGTGCTTTCATTTCGACTCTACCAAACATCATTGGTTTTCTTTGGAGTTTCCTCCAGGCGTCAGTTGCACAAAGGACGTGCAGTACTATCTGGGCGGCAGTGGATAGCACTATCCATCCTTTGTAAACTGGCCCCTGTAGTACCACTAAACATTTCTTATCATCAATCATTGTTACAGCAAAATATTTAATATTACAGTAAGATTAATGATTATCAAAAACATACCTTAAATCTATCTGGGATTAAATATAATCCGATTTCACTATAATCCAATGTAATCCAATATAAATGGTAAATCCAGTCCGCGCTAGTCTGGGTACGAGATTGAATCCGTCATCTGAAAGACGTAATATGTAAAAGCCAGCTTTATTTTCACTCGAAATATATCAAGTTTCACGCGTTATTGTTGGGAAATATTCGTAGCATGCAAAGTGGAAAACAGGACAGTTTATTCTTTCCTAGCCCGCAAATAGATATGAGTGGAAAATTAATTATAAAAGCTCAACTTGGCAATGATATAAGACGAATTCCAATTCATAACGAAGACCTAACTTATGATGATTTGTTACTCATGATGCAACGAGTGTTTCGGGGTCAGTTAACGAACTCTGACGATGTGACAATAAAATATAAAGACGAAGGTATTACACGTTCATTTTGTGTGTTTAAACTTTCAAAATCTGCCAAATAATCTTCACTATTTACTTGTGAATTTAAATGTACTTGTCTATTGTAATTGTACACATTATAAACAATTTAATGGACTTCGTTTATAGATGGTGACCTGATTACTATATTTGACAGTTCAGATCTGTCCTATGCTAAATCAGTTAGTCGAATTCTCAGGATAACTTTATTTGGTAGGTACATGGACCGAAAATTTTATTGTCATATCACAAAAAATAATTATATCCTGAATGACAATTAAGTTGAGGTAAATGTTGTGATAGAAGGCTGAGGCAGAGAACATGTTTTAATTAAGATCTTGCTAATACCTTATATCACAAAAAATCAAATCTAATAATTGTTGAAAGAACAAATCAAATGATATCATAATTTGACTAGCTTTAATCAAGGAAGTATTTTTTGCAATCAATATACAATATACTAACATCAGAATCTGTATAGTTGCAATCTGCATTTGTCTGATTATCAAACACCTCATATTTACATCTTGTGTACTACAGTTTTTCCCGTTGCAAACCTGGACCAATAAGGAATGCCGAGATGGCCTTTACTTGACCTCTAGGGAAAATTATTTAGAACTAACAGCTATCCAGTATAAATAAAGTTAGTTCAGTTTAATATTTTTAACTTGCCATTTTTGGTAGTGAACCAATATCCTCGACCGATGGAACACAATATGGTGAGAGAATTTCGTAAAGAACTTGCAAACATCCGAGACAGAATCAACTTTCTGTTTGACAAACTTGAGTCAGCAGAAACTGAAGCAGACAAATATAAAACAGGAAAACAACTTACAGCAAAAACAGGTCCAGTCGCACCTCCGGAGACAGGTAACTCACTGTGTAGTACCATAGTCGTGGGCATTTGCAAGTTACTTACGACATATTTATTGTGATTTAGCAGCTGTGGCTCCTGCTCCAGAGATCAGTAAACCTGTAGACCCCAAAGTGCGGGTGCATGCTGCAATGTTTGATCCACTTAATCAACAGTCAAGCCAAATGGATAGCAAAGCTGTTGATCAGTTTGATCAAATTGGTAAGGTTCAGATAGTATGGCTCGTATTATGGTTATGTTTTTTCAACGCTTGTCAGATGTTGGTGATCATGTAGTTAAATCTTATCCTGTCATCAGTCTTGCAAAACTAGATGTCCTCATTCCATTTCTAATATTGCTTCTGGATATTTATTCTTCAGTCTTCCTTTTCAATTTTCCATGGGAAGCAGCATTTCCAACCAAGACCCATCTTGTTTCAAAATTTGGCCAGGAAACTTGAGCTGTCTCTGTTTCTTCTCTTCCATCTTGCTTTTTTTAGTATCTCCTAATTTGTCACTATATTTACCATCCAGTGAATCCTCGTCATTCTTTGCAGAAACCTCAGCTCCTTCAAGTATTTCTCGTGTTTTCCTTCTTCTTTGCTTTTGTCAATGCATGTATGTTTTAGAAATGTAAGACGACATACCTCTATTTTTTAGGTAAGCAAGTCATATACAATGGGCAACCAACAAGTGACATAACTCCAGCAATAAGTCAGCAATATCAAGCGTCAAGTTTAAGCAATACAACACAAGCACCTTATCCAAGTAATAATCCAGCTTTCAATCCTTCCCCAAGATCTACCCCACCTCCCCAGAAATCTGTACCTAACCAAGTTCCCCCTACCCAGGCCCCACCTACCCATGTCCAACCTACACAACCAACTAATTCAGCATACAACCAAAACAGTTATGCCCCCACCTCCCAGACATATTCCCAAGGGTATACCTACCAACCCAGCAGTAATGGCACAGGGGGTGGAGCCCCAAGTGTCTCGGCACCTACACAATCTTACGCTGGTCCAAACCAGGCCCAGGTGTATATTGGCGGAAGTGAATCAGGTTACCCATCAGGAGGATATGGAAATACAGGGGGAACCACAGGGACCAATCCGTATTCGAGAACTGCTGGTGGGGGAACATACCCCCAGCAACCCCCTGCAGGGGTATATGATTATAGCGCATCAGGACAATACCCCACTAGCTATCAAGCCCCATATCCTAGTTACTAGTAGGAACAATACAGTATAACTAAGTCATTCAGAATATTAATATAATAAAGTACTGGAGTAGTGTATTACAATTGCTGTGATAATTTGGCGAAGTCCTATTGTCATTTGTGGTGGTCCAAAGTAAATTTCCCCAAGGTCACAATATTTTCATACTATATAAGTTGCGAAAATTTCTTTCATCACCGTGTAGAAAAATGTAGTAATATAGAGAATAAACATGCCATGTTTTTGCAAGCTTGGTTGGTATAACGAACCTGAAACTGTCTAAATTGGTGTTTGTTTTCAATTTTAAATTTAACCAAGAATGTTTGTTGCCATCTGTAATGGGCAAAAACGTTGACTGTTTAAGCTCTCTCATAGATCATGACTTGAACATATGATATAGCTTTTCAAGTATTGAAAGAAACATTTGTTAATACATATGTAATACTGTGGTATCCATACGGTGTTTCTTTGTGTTTTGTGCTAATGATTTGTTAAATTAATGATATGAATAATCTACCTCTAAGGCATTGATTATGAAAACAATGTGAACTATAACGAACTACAGTAGCTTACGCAGTTGTCATGTTAATTTAAAGAATGGTGAATTAGAACTACGATTAATAGCTATGGTATAATTATGGGTATTTTGCGAAGTTCACTATAAATACTTATCAATTTTTGTATGCTTCTATCACGTGTAGTATTTTCTTCTATGGATTCCTCGCTCTGAAATGAAGGCCTTGCTAGGTCTAACGACGTTTGCAATTCCTAAAGAAAATGACACCAAAACTCAATAACTTATTATAAGTGCATAGCAATGGTACTATCCAGTCACGATCCAGTGATCGGAATGTCACTGTTCTCTATGCCACCGAAACTCGTGGTTTTGGGACTGTGGAGCGTTTGGGACTGTGGAGGGTTTGGGACTGTGGAGGGTTTGGGACTGTGGAGGGTTTGGGACAGTGGGTGTATGTATTCTTCTGCTAAACATAGTTCATTGGGCTTCTTCCCACCTTTGCTTGATCCAAGCTGACTGGATTGAATTTATCTTCATTGTTGACGGATACCGGATCGACAAATTCAATCTAGTAGTAAGCTTTGATCAACCCAAAGTAAGAGCAAGACCAATAAATCATGCTTTGTTCCAAATTTTTCAAACGGATCAAATCTATAAAACAGTGGATCTTTTCAGCCTTACTTTCAACTTAATTAGCTGTTTCTGCAATCCCCCCACTGGAACACTTGCACTCTGCTCAGGAGTTCTTTGTAGGATAGGCTAGGAAACGAAGGAGACTCGAATTAAAAAATCGTTAGTTCAAATATATTGAGATGCATTTATTGTAAGTCACGAAAGTGCATCGCAAGGATATAGTACTGGACTGGTCAATCACTTCTTCAAAAGTCAACTGTTTTCCTTTGAGGTTCAGTAGAGCCAACAGCTCATTTCTCCAGTGTTACTTAGGGAGGAAACCAGAGTGCCTGGAGAAAGCCCACGTTGTTTGGAAGCTCTCTTCTATAAACCTCGCCTGATACCAGAAAACCTCGGCACCCAGAGTACACTGATATGAAATAAAGATCTGAAAACTGTGTACTGCAGGAATCAAACCCCGATCGCAGAACTTGTCATTTTATCCACCAGTCTATTTCTTGCGTACAGAATCCCCCAAACAAACTATTCAGACCTACCTTAAGTACTTTCAACAATGAGGAGTGAATGGAACATCCTAATGCCTGAGATGATGTATGTACACGTACTTCAAGACCCTCGATACCCTGTGTTGTCCCTACTTGATCCACCACCTGAAACTTCACCACTTCTTCATCGGGCGTTCTTGCCACCACGTGACCACCTGGATACTTCATGTCATCACAATATAGATGTCTTCTTGAACCATGAAGTATGAAGTGTAACACGCATGCTTCTTGAGAGGGAAGGTTATCTTTGCTTTCTCCATGGTTGGGGCTGCTAGGCTTCGGTTTCAGAGAAGATTCGGTATTATCTTTACCAAGCTGTATATCTTGGACTCGCGTTTGAATTGAATCAACAGCTTCTTTCGAAAGCTCGATTGAAAATGTAGAAAATTCAGGGGACTTTTCTTGAACTGGTTCTGACACTTTATTAGGTGACCATGTTGTATTTATGCTTTTCAAAATGCTGTGTAGCAAACGAGTTGGGTGTATCTGCTGATGCGTGACTGATGAACAGGTATCCTGCTTTCGTAGAAAATGAAGAATATTCATTTCTGTTCTGGAGACGAGCACGCTAAACCCTTCTTCAGCAAGGGCCGGCTCACAGTCCCTGAGGAACACTGGGAGTAATTCCTTTAAACCAAAGCAAATATAGCATGATACTTGTATGGGAGTTAGGTAAGACAATGTATCTTCCATAGGTATTGAAATGTGATGTGATGAAGCCGAACTCAGCGATACCGAATGATTCATGGTGGCTCGAACGGAACAGTCTTCATTAAACCACGGTTGTGAGGTGTCAACTTGGACCACTAACGACCAATTTAGTGAAAATGGAAACTTTGTAGAGTTCGTGAGATCGCATCTCAGAATAACACGCGGGTTAAGACTCGTCCCTTGAGCTTCATAATCCACACCGACTTTGAAGGAAATCCCAGATTCTTGGAAAGTTGTTTCCTTCGGAGGTTCTCGGTTTCTTAGAATCTCACATAGTACTTGCGTTACACTGTTCAACTGTTTTATGACTTCATCAAGCTGGCGAATTTCATCACGGAGGTTTTTCACTTGAGATGCTTTCTCGTGGATTTCTCCTAAATTCTTTTTAATCTGATCACCACTGGATGAGGAAGATTGTGACATTCCTTCGGCCAATGGTTGTGGAACAAGCAAGACCCGTCCATCAGTCTTCACACAAATCATAGAATTAGCTTCACCTATGGATAATGCGAGTACCTTCGGAATATTGAGGGTTGTGGGTGACAATGAAGAAGGAAGATGAAGTTCAGAGGTATCTTTATCCCCATTCTTGGCTTCTGTTTTCAATCCAAGTTGCACTACATACACCTCTTTTAGTGTTGAATAAAACAAAGTGCAAAGATTGTTACTGACAGCTGTACATACAATAGGACCAGGTACATGGTACTCTCGGACCACAGTGCTATCTGGCAATCCTTTTGAGTTGTCTTGGGTTATTAGGACTAGTTTTCCCAAAGTTCCAAGTATGCAGAGCGTATCACCAGTTGGTGTGAAGTCTGGGTTAACACCCTTGGGTGACGGGGGCTTTCGACAGACTGGGAATATGGATAGAACAGGTTGTTCTAAATGATACAATGTTGGATTTCTTGGATTCTGATTCTTGGCGCCAACATGTATGTATCCAACCAATCCACTTCGGAGTCCAACAAGGACAATTGGACAGTTGCCGCCTGATTGGCTACTAAATAACAAGCTAAAGAGCAGCTGGTTTAGTGTACTGTTGGCACACTTGGATGACAGTTGCTCACTTGGTGATACATAGAGTAATGTTGCCACATTGTTGTTGACATGGTTAAATGCATCTCTAGCCATTAAGGTTTGGTATAAGAAGCTTGATGCTATTTCTCGTTTTCTTGCATCATTTTGTTCATTCCAAGGATAGACAGTAAGTCTAAGATCACCATCATTGCTAGAACATGTTATGATATGATGTTGGCCTATGACTACATCCCGGAGGCCTGCCTCCCAGTATATCACATGACCATCAGAACATTGATGAATATTGCTAAACACTGTAACATTTTGTGTTTGGTCTTCTGAAGAATGGGGATTATCACCTAACAGTTCAGCAAATATTTCATGGTTTGGACTTGCTTTTGTTGCCTGATAACTTGTTTGCTGTTTTGTTCTAAAAACACCTTTTCATTATAACCTTCATGCACATGAATTTCATCTCAAAATGCACATACTAGTTTCTTTCCCCCTCCCAAATGTTACTCAAATTTGTACCAGGCAAGCCTGCTCAAATAACCTGTAGACATGATATTTATTGCAGCTGTATATTCTAATTTAAATAAAATCTTGTGGTGGCCAAACAAGGTGGCTGAACTTTGATGGGTTAACCAGGTTCTTTATCAACCTAATATTTGCAGGCAAATATGCATAAGACTATCATTCCCATGCTTATAAGGCCAAGTAAAAAAAAATTAGTAGTTTCTCGTTCGAATTTTGAAAAAAAAAGAACACAGGCACTTTTTTTTTGTTAAACCTTCAAATATTGCTCTTAAAGTTTACCAAATAACTTATAAACACACGCAAATATTGAAGTTTACTCATAAAACGCAAATATATAATAAAATAGACAAACAGCTACTAATGCAATATGGCACCAAAATAACAATGGGTCATTGCAGAAAATATCCATACCACCCCCACGGAGGAAATAGGAAGTTAACCCCCCTACCCCCTTCAGATGTCCTGATACACATATTTACTATTATCAGAAACAATTTTTTCTCCCCTCCCCCTCCGGACGGCAGAAATTTCCTCCATGGGGGGAGTGTGGATCTTTTCTGGAACGACACAATATGCAAGAACAGCGGCGCGAAGTATGGCAACTTAACTATGCCGAAAGGAGCAAAATGCCCGAAATATGTAAGTACTAGGCTAGTGCACTTAACTGTTCATTTGCTTGTAATGATATTGGAATAGCCCACAGTTTACCATCTTTGGTCACAACCCATAGTTCATTTCTCTCGTCAACATAATCAAGGACTTTCAATACACAACTTCCCACATTTATTATAAACTAGAACAAAAGAACAGACCAGTTTCAATTTAGCATGGATGCAGCCTCAACCCAAAATTGTTTTTAAAAAATCTGGGTTGAGGCAGCAGGCTAGTCTCATGCATACAAATCAGAAAACCACAAGCAACACAGTTTGCACATAGGCTTGTCTAGAAGTTAGCTCATGTTAGTTCTTGTCGCAGAAGTTAGCTCAGTAATTGTGAGCTTGATTATAGTGGTTGAAGATTGCAATGTCAAACATACCTCCCCCCCCATCAATCAGATAAGAATTAAACCAATCTTGTGGAGTTGCCTGATTATAATTTCATTGTTCATTGTATCAACTGGAGCTCTATTGAACTAACTGTTCAGTCTGACTAGTCAATCATTCCGAAGGGTTGGCATTTTCAGGGGGGGTACACACCACTTGCTATAAAAAATTTAAAACTGTCTGTACCAGTGTAGGTAGTACCAATGTGGAAATGCTGTGCTGAGTGGTTATATTACTACCTTAAAAAATAAGCAGAAACTCAACGTTTCGAGCGAAGGCCCTTCGTCTCGAAACGTTGAGTTTCTGCTTATTTTTTAAGGTAGTAATATAACCACCCAGCACAGTATAAAAATTTTAGAATGTTTTAAAAATTTTTTGCTTTTAATTTGAGGTTTGTTTATAGTGAGAATTATACATTTATTTCTTCTTCATTCAAAGGCTATTGAAAATTTTTAAATATTAAAATAGATACTTCAAATAGTCTACGAAGTCTACAAACAAAATACAATAAACTAAAACTACAAACAACTTTATAAAAAACTCACAATTATTTTGTAATTTTCCATGATATGAAGAAGCTTGTTGCCGGCCGAGAACACAGTAATACATCTCCCATTGTTCAATTTTAAATATTTTACACACGAAGCGAACGAAGGAGACAAGCGACATAATGTTTGAACTCTTTTACTTTCTTTCAAATTCATAATATTTGAACTCTTTTACTTTCTTTCAAATTTAAAAAAATTTCCGACATGTTTGAAAAATTTTCCCGCCTCTTCGCGCCCCGCGCTATATGATAATCAGCCAACGTTATGAGTGATACAGCTGTGCATTCGTATCGTGGGCGCATGTAAAACTAAGGGAGGAAGCGATTCTTTTGCCCAAAGGACCCTTGCACGAGGAAAATGTTTGAACAAGACCATATAAAAATATATAAAGTACAACCATGCTTTATAAAACAGCGAAAATTTTAACATAAATAACTTTTACTGCTATTTCCAATTCTATGTACAAGTACAATAACTTAATTAGAATATACACATCTTAATAATATGATGGAAAACAAAATAGAAACTCCCCTGATGTTCAAATTTCTAGTTAACAAAACGTATCGCATGAACCATAATATCAATACAGCAATAATTGCCAAGCAGAGATTCTTACAAAAGATCATTAAATGAATTGAAATATATTTGGTGTTACAGTCTGGATTGGATAAAGTTTGATCAAGTCCTAGGGGCTAGCACGTGCCGAAGTTTGATCAAATCCAAAGACTGGATGAAGTTTGATCAAGTCCTAGGACTGGATGAAGTTTTGATCAAGTCCTAGGACTGGATGAAGTTTGATCAAGTCCAAATACTGGATGAAGTTTAATCAAGTCCTAGGACTGGATGAAGTTTGATCAAGTCCTAGGACTGGATGAAGTTTGATCAAGTCTTAGAACTGGATGAAGTTTTGATCAAGTCCTAGGACTGGATGAAGTTTTGATCAAGTCCTAAGACTGGATGTAGTTTTGACCAAGTCCTGGGGGACGGGATGAAGTTTTGAACAAGTCCTAGGATTGCATGAAGTTTGATCAAGTCCTAGGACTTAATGATATGTCAGTGTTTTTGTAAGAAATCTTAACTTGTTTGCGTACAACTAATTCTATACAATTAAGCCCGAAAGGTGGCTCATAACCCCAAAGGAAGAATATTATGATGTAATTCGGTCAATTCATAGTTGGTTAACTCCAGTGGGCGAAATTCCCCGAAGCTAACGCCGGGAGATGACCGTTGATTCCGAACGTAGGTGTCGTCAGCTTGCTGAAGTCGTTATGGTGATACCGTGCGGAGTCTGGTAGCGACGACGAAGTGGTAGCGGGGAGCCACAGGGAATTATGTGGATCGCGCGATGACCTTGATAGAAAACTGAGAGGTGAAGATTGAGTGTCGTAGAATGGGTGAGATGATCCTGAAACGAACAGAGGATTAAATTAAATCACCATTAAAGAATCAAAATCTTTCTCTAATCCAGAAGATCTTTACTTCTACATGTGATCTTTACTTCTACTTCTTCTGTATGAAAGGGTTGGGTGTTGGTGGTAGAAAAGTCAAGGGAAGACCCTTACAGGGCCTCTAGGAAGAACAGTTCAGAACTAATAGAGTATAAATAAAGTTAGCAACACTGGATCAATAAGAGATGATCCTTACTGGACCTCTAGGGAAAACAGTTTAGAACTGATAGAGTATAAATAAAGTTTGTAACACTGGGTCATTAAGAGATGATCCTTACTCCATGGAGGGAAAACAGTTTAGAACTGATAGAGCTATTCAGTACAAATAAAGTTACTGGACCTCTAGGGAAAACAGTTTAGAACTGATAGAGTTACATACCTGCAGGTGAGAACTGTGGTCTCTTCATGAACGTGGTGGCGTAAGGATTGGTGCGATGATTTCTCAACGAAAATCTTTCACATGTTGTCGAGTGAAGACGATGATGATGTGAGGCGTGACTTGGATGTAAACCTGACGAACATAACCAGCTATCTGTAGAAGAGAAAAATACAGAGAGAATTAACTTCTATCCTAGTAACCTTTGTAGAAACTACTTTATGATTAGTTAAGCCCATTGTGACCATATCAAGGTGGCTGACGTTATAAAGCCCGTTCACACTATATATTTTTGCTGCGATTTTAGGTGTGATTTTCTTCTTCTGATAGATGTGAACGAGTGGATGAGTTGTGAATGTTCAGAGGTGAGGTTACATCAGTGAACTGTAATAACACTGGAACGCTAACTGCAGATAAACATGCCCATACTTGCCTGAAGCCAAAATGGCGCTTCTCGCGAGCACGGCCAGCAATAAATTAACTTTCAAAAGGACTGGGGAGAGTTTCGAGGAGCGGGAAATT